TGGAAGGGTCCCTCAAGACCGCCTGGACCCTGTTTTAAATTTGGACAGATGAGTCACTGGGTTCATACATGTCCCAAGCCTTGCTAGCCTCCAGGCCCTTGTCCTAAATGTCATCAGATGGGACACTGGGCCATTGACTGTCCCCAAGTCTATAGTGGCCCCCAGCCACCCGGCCCTTCTGGTTCCCCTTTCAACTCTTGGGACTGGCTGCAGAGGACTGACAAGGCCCAGGTCCCCATCACTGACCACTACCATCACTCCACGGGAACCCAGGGTAACTCTGTATTTCAGGTAGGCATATCTCCTTCCTCCTAGWCACTGGGGCTGTATCTTCAGTCCTCAAGGGTTCTGGGGGCCTACTACTCATTCTATGACCTGTTGTCAGGGTCGAAGGTAAACCTTTACAGTACCTAGCCTTGTTTGTGCTTTTGGCTCTCTAATTTTTACTCATTCCTTTTTGGTCATTCCACGGTGCCATGTTCCCATTACGGGAAGGGACGTTCTCACAAAGTTGGGGCAACACTTCCCTTCTCCCCTCATATACGCCTTCATCCAGACTCACCTGCTGCTCCCCTGATCCTCACCCTTACCTTAGGGCCATCCTCTATTCCGTCTGCCAGTGCCTCCCATTACCCCCTTCTGAGGTGGACCCTACTGTCTGGGACGTTTCAAGTCCTTCTATCACCTCACACCATGAGCCCATTCACACCTGTCTCAAAACCCCCTCCATTTTCTGGCCCAATTACAAAACCTGCTCCTCCTCCTTGCTCCTGCTGTCTCTCTCTTTTTGCAGAGCAGCCTTGATCACATTCTCCCCTCAGCTTTGCTCTCTCCTCCAGGGATCTGAGCTGCTTTGGGATCCTGGCCTGGGAGCCCAGGACAATTACCACGCACCTTCTTCCATTCACTTAGCGCTCTTCTTCTYCATCCACACTCCGGCCTCATTTGGGCCTCAAAGCTTCCCACTGCCATTGGAACTGMAGGATGGCAGCTAAGTGACCCCCTTCTCCAGTGGACACTTCCTTTCCTGGCCTCTCTCCTTGTCATGGGCCTTTTGCTAATGCTTGCCCCCTGTATCATTAGATTTATTCAAGACCAGATTCAGAGGATTTATAACCAAACCATGAACCAGCTTCTGCTACAGGACTTCCAACCCCTCACCAAAATTGGGCCKTCCAGAGTCAGCATTGCCCGGCACCTCCTGACCATCACCATTGCCTCAATGACACCCCGCGTCCCTAACAAGGGTCCRGACCCCCTCCCCTCCCAGCAGAAAGAAGCTACAGAAGATTGATCCAAGTCCCTGTCCCTTAAGGGGCTCAATAACAAACAAACAAACAAAAAAGGGGGGAATGTRAGGTCTTTGCTTAGCATCTGGATGGCCRTCTTAAGAAAAATTTTCACTTTCCTGCCCAAAGGCCTTTCTGAGAAAGGCTCACCACTCYCTCATACCAACCCCACCCTTAACCACCCTGCTCGAATCCCTGAACCTGCCAYATAAAAGTCTWGAACCCCAAGCCTGTGTTGCCTCTCTCTGTCTATGGAGAGATGGCCTTTATTTGTCAGCTCTGACAAATAAAACTCTCATGTGTATCTCTGCCTGGTCTCGGTCTTTCATTTCTCTCTCACCTGTCTCCCTCACTTTCCTTTCAGTGAGACCCCGTCTCAAAATTAAAAAATAAAAAGGGTTGGCAGTGTAGTTCAGTGTTCTTATTCAAACCACAGCACAGACAAACAAACAAACAAATAACAACAAAAAACAGAGGGAAGGCAGCCTCCTAAAAGGGAGAGAATTTCTTTGATTAAAATTTCTCAAACTCTTTCAGTTGATTTCCGTGAAACATTTGTGAAACATTATATAGATCATTCTTTGGGGGCATTTGAAACAGTTTATCCAACATAGCAGAAATCTCACTGTTAAGAAAAACGCAGAACACACTTGAGTTGTGAAAGGAAGAAAAAGATGTTCATTAAAAAATATTGGAGCTGGGGCTGGGGATGTGGCTCAAGCGGTAGCGCGCTCGCCTGGCATGCGTGCGGCCCGGGTTCGATCCTCAGCACCACATACCAACAAAAAGATGTTGTGTCCGCCGA